GAGCACAAGCAGGGGTGGGGCGGAGAGAAAGGGGACACAGAATCAGAAGCAGGCTCCAGGCTCTGAGCTGTCAGCACAGAGCTGGGCGTGGGGCTTGAATTCACGAACCGCGAGATCATGACCTGAGCCGAAGTCAGACGCTCAACCGACTGAGCCACCCAGGCGCCCCGTAATGTTTATTTTTGAGAGAGAGAGAGTGAGAGTGAGAGCGAGCATTATCAGGGGAGGGGCAGAGAGAAAGGGAGAGCCTGCTTCGGATTCTGTGTCTCCCTCGCTGTCTGCCCCTCCCCAACTCGCACTCCGTCTCTCTCAAAAATAAACATTAAAAAACTTTTAACTGGAAATGAGAATAGGATGAGAAGAGAAAAATGAGGTATAATACATAGAATGACCATATTTACTGTGCAAAGCAGAATACCTGAGAATAGAAGAGGGTGCTCTCACTTATGCTGAGGTAACAGGCATAAATACTGTTCCAGGCAGACGGGTTGGACCATCTAATCATAGGAGGGGGTACAGCGCTAAATATGCCTTTAAAGCATATTTCTTAGCTTCAGGAAAAAGCTGGGATTTGTAAATGAAGAAACAAAAGCCTGGCATGAAAGTGCACATGAGAAAAGGAACACCCAGAAGGAGTGACTTCATTTGTTGGTTTAGGTGTGGGGTCATCAGGAGTAGGGCTCTGCTTGAATAATGGTGCATATGTGCCAGAGGGGGTGGGGGGTGGGGCGGAAGAAAATAGTGTGGTTTATTGTGTTTTGTCTGACAAGAGGAGAACCTTGTTCACATAAATGTTCCATCATTTTAAATCTGAGCCAACGAAAATCTAAATTCTCCTTAACATCTGCACTACTGTCCAAGTCACACTGTGTTCCTAGAGTCACAAAGACTGTATTATGGAAAGGAGAACCAACATAAACCTCTGTTGATGAGATTATCTAGAAGCAGGGACGAAGTTTTCCCATGAGCAGTCCATGTCATTAAAACTGTTAGTGTACAAAATGAATTTTTAGTCAATAACAGTGGGTAAGTATAGCATGTTGTCATTCTAAAATAGATGCATCTTCCTTTATTTCTTTCCATGTTTATTTATTGATTTTAAGAGAGAGCATGTGCATGAGCAGGGAAGGGGGCAGACAAAGAGGGAGAGAATCCCAAGCAGGCTCCACGCTGTCAGCACACAGCCCTATGCAGGGCTCAAATTCACAAACCGTAATTGTGAGGTCATGACCTGAGCCAATATCAAAAGTCAGACGCTTAACCGACTGAGCCACCTGGGCACCCCAGTAGATGCATTTTCTAAGAGTAAAAACGGGTGGTTAAGTCGGTTCAGCGGTGGGTGGTTCAGTTGGTTAAGCGTCTGACTTGGCTCGTCATGATCTTGCGGTTTGCGACTTCGAGCTCCGTGTCAGGCTCTCTGCTGTCGGTTTGGAGCCTGCTTCGGAGCCTCTGCCCCCCTCTCTCTCAGAAATAAACATTAAAAAAAAAAGAGTAATACAAAAAGTCCACAAAATCAATACTTATGTAAGTTTTTAAAAAGTCATTATAGAGGCACCTGGTGGCTCAGTCAGTTAAGCGTCCAACTTCAGCTGAGGTCATGATCTCGCGGGTTGTGGGTTCAAGCACCCTGTCAGGCTCTGTGGCTGACAAGGGGCTCCAATCCACAAATTGGGAGATCATGTCGTGAGCCAGACAAAGTT